AACATTTAGCTTCATGATAAAATCATAAATAGAATAAAACGGAAGCAGAATATTTCAATTTTATGCAAATTAATATTTAGCAGAGAGAAAATATTCAATTTCTTTAAGTTAAAACGTCATTTATACCGAATGAAATATTGACAAAAAAAAACAAATGTCATATTCTCTAGTTACTATTTTACTCTCTCTTTTTTAAAATTTTTTTTACGACGTTAAATGCTGTTGTTTTCTTTCGTTGATACCTAACAATACTTTCACCTAGTTTTTATTTGAAATATGGTTGCCAATAACAAATGAAAAAGAAAATATGCAACAACGTCATTCATTCTATTGTTATTCTTTCCAATTTTCGTTTACTTTTCATTTTTACTATGACTTAAGTGTCATTGCATTAGGTGTCTTGTCTCATACGTTGTTTTTCTTTTCTTCGATTCTCTTAGAGCGAGTTTCTTTTTTCACTTTCGGGCAAAATGAAAAAAAGCAACGAAGTCATCGTCAGTTTGATTTCTTTTCCATGTGATTATCATAAACATTTTGATGATGTGAATAAACATTTTTTACTTAACCTTCACCAATATACTTTGTGCTCTGTGATCGTTCGAGTAAATAAGAGTTGCTCTATGAAATCCAAGGATGAATGAAATAGTTCCATCATGATTTTTCGAGTAGATACAGCAAGCAAACAAAAGTTTGACCTAATAATTGTCGCAATGAACTTTAGTCGTGCCACAGTTCTAACACTAAGTCGAATCAATATTTAAAATAAAATTAGCCTTTGATTTCTTTATTATTTCGATAGAACTGTTGTTATTGTAATAAAAATTATAAGTGAAAAGGATGTGGGTATCGGTCAAGAAAAACGCATTAAAATCAATCCAACATTGTTCATTACATTACAGAGTGTGATGTCAGTGGAGTGTGAATATTCACTCAAATGGGACTCACATCAAGACCTATACAAATACTTACATTTTCAATTTATTCATTCGTGTAGTGTCTATTGATGGTATAACTACAATATGCTACGTTGAATTCTTTCAAAAGTATCCAATTATGCATTTAGCAAACAGGAATATTTTACTAATTTTATTGTTTAATATATTATTAGCAAGAGCAGCACTAATTACATCATATATTCTATTTGAATGAAAATTTTATATTAGAAATAAATCTTTAGACTATGATATTTTGATTTCATGCATGGTAGATAAAGCTCAAAATTTCTACGAAATCACATCCAATAATCGGTTGATTTCCATAATTTCCGTGGACTATCTTTTATTAAAAAAAAAAAGATTCATTTATAACTACTTTTGATGTTTTTCATCATGGAATACTAAGTAATTAATATTGATTATTTTCCATCAGAATTTGCATATAGTTTGATCTAAAGTCAGAAACAAGCACAAAATAAAGCGATCTCTTCGTCCTATATTCTGTTCTATCTTGCAGAGTAAGATAAAACTAAAATTCTTATTCTTTACAATTATCTTTAGCAATTTTCAATATTGATTGACAAGAACATAAAATAATATACGATATAAATAAAAACTTGTTCATTTCTACAAAAAAAACTCAGGAAATTAAGTAGAACTCAAAATTTTACTTCAAAATGAAAGTAAAAGATATTTATTCATAAAAAGTGAATCATCAAACAACATTCTAACCATAAATAAATAAATGCGGAAACTTCGGATTTAAATCCAAGAGTTACGTGTACTTCAAAAAGTGAATGAGACAGATGAGTCGTTCTAGAACGTGTGGACATCAAAATTATACTGGAGAACCTACCCTCTAAACTGTTGATTTCTATTGAGTATTGCCAAACCAATAGGACTTGGGACCGAATACAGCTCAAATTTGAACTCTTCCCCTTGATTTACCCTAAGAAAGTCGTTTTTCCTATAACTTGATTTCTATTGGTCACTGCTCAACCAATAGTATTTCGATGGAAGTGGAATACAGATTCGAGTTCTCCATCTCAGAAAACCTCGAAGTATCATCACTGTGATCGGAAGATAGAGCTCTATTTGTGGATCAATTAGATCGTGGGCAAAAATATAACCTAGTTCTCTTTAATTATCTTTGTGATAGATGAGCCAACCTTCTTGTTTCTTTATGTTTTATATACCATTTTGTAGCTGGTGAAATTCTCTATCGAATGGTATATAATAGTTGGGGTTTTAGTTGACTATGATAGGAAAAGTCTTTTACGAAAGTGAGGATGGGTCGATCTTTCCATAGGGAAGGTGCAGGGAAAAATGAGTATTTTTGCAATAACTCAGGAAGGGCTCGGCCAATCATTCTCATCTTCGAACTCGACCGAGACATTGTTAAGACTAAACTGTGTAGAAAATTTCATCGTGATTGGACTCTTCTTTCAAACGTTATCGAATAAACGGACGGACGGCCGGACACACTGACCGATTTTAGTAGTGTACTCACTTTTTGAGTACACAATAAATCTCACATAGACATATATCAACTTAAATGAACTCTTCAGTATATTTACTACAATCCGTCCAAAAAAATACATTTTAGACTCATAGCAATGATTCTATCGCTGATCTTCGGATCGTTCAAGATATATATATAAAGTCTCAACTACCTAATAAGACCCTTAAGCAAGGTCGAAACGCGTCGTAGTTACTTGACTTATCCTCAAGATAGTTGTTAACTAACTTGTTTTCAAGAGTCTGCATATTATTGAGTTATTTTCTTGCATGTTTATTTGAAAAAGTACGATACATAAGGTAGATATTTGAAACGCAATCAACAAGCATTTTTGATATATGTCCTAAATTGCTGAAGATGTGATTGTATTTCACAAGAATTCAATGAATTTTGAAAATTTAATCAATGGAATTGGCAAAATTCAGAACAATTGCAGTATTCTCTTTGTTTCTTCATACAAAATTTAATACATGAAAAGCAGCTATTTCAACTAAATGTGATTTATATTTATTAGGTTTGATTACATAAAAATATATTGAAATATAAAAGATATCATTGAACTGAATTTTAAGTCAAAATGAAATCGTTTTCTGTCTACTTAGTAAGAGTAATTTTTAACATCACGACTGCATGATGATCAATGTTAGGTGATGTATAACTACCAGTAAATGTTCCAAGATCTTTACGTGCCCATAAATCACGAACAATAGCTGAATGATTAGTAGGAAAACCAATATCACTCCATTCAACAGTGATTGGTTCACTTCCACTATTAACTCGATTGAATAAAAGTACTGCTTGTGAACCATCTGAAAGTGGACCTGCCCATATTTCAAGTTCTGCTTGTGATGTTAAACATGCACCATTGTATTTATTTCGAACTGTTCCATCAATTGAATTCCATATCCATGCTTGATTATCTTGTTTATTACATGTATGTACATCTACATTTGGTCCATCAAAATTATATACATCCAAACTAAACAATACAATTTTCATTGATTAAAATCATTATATTGAAAATATTACTAATAACTTACCATTTTCCATTCATTTTAGAAATAATAGTTTGATCTACTGTATTAATAATCCATTGTTGATTTTTTCCTTGACATTGTGCATGTGGATCATCTATATGACATTCATTCATTACAATATTTGCAGTTTCTGCACTACTACAATTTTCAATTGAGAGACATCGACCATCAAAAACTGAACGAATTGATCCATCTTGACTATAGTATCTCCATTGAAAACGTTCTGGATTTATATTTAATGAAAATGATGAACAATTAACAACAATGACATCACTTGATGCATTCTTTAATTGTGATGGTTGAAAAGCAACTTTCTTTCCTTGAATACCTAATGGATCTTGATTAACAGCAATTACTTCAGGATTTGTAAGAGTTGATAAAGTAGCTGCACTCATCTTAGTAACATCACATCCAATAAGAAGTGGTGCTTTACTGATAGCCCAAAGAGAAAAATGAGAAACATATTCTGTATCAGTCATACCACCATTTCCAACTTCAAGCACTAAATAAACATTCAATAATTGCGATAGATTAGAAATTATATAATAATCACTTACTATCAGGATCATTCCAACCACCAGGACCTGCTCTATCTGCAAATTCATTGTTCTAAATATAAAGAAAGATATACATATTTCCAAATTGTAAGATAATCTTACAATATCAATGTTATACAACATCGATTTCCAGTTATCTTTAATGTCTTGTGTTGTTCTCCAACTATTTCCAACATTGGCTGCCCAAAGAGCAGGTGAATCAATACCCCATTCTAAACACAAAATAGTATACAACATACAATAAAGTAATAAGATTGATAAATTCATGAACTTACCACACATGGCAAAGAAGATAGGTCTTCCAGTTGCATTCAATGCATCTCTCATAATTGGATATCTTACTTCTGGTTTAGTTCCATCATCATAACAATTGTCATATTTCAAATAATCTACACCCCATGAAGCATATGTATTGGCATCTTTAGTTTCATAGTGCAATGAACCTGGTAGATCATCACATGTTTTAAATCCAGCATCTAATGTATACAGAGAAATAATGTGGACTAAAATCGATAAATAGATAAATAAATGTGATTATTATACCTGAATAGATTCCGAATTTAAGTTTTCGTGAATGAACATAATCGACAAGAGCTGGCATACCATTTGGAAATTTTTCTGGATCAGCTTGAATAGTACCTTGTGCATCTCGACTCAGTTGCCAACAATCAACTTCAACTAGAAACCAAAATAGAACAACAAATACAAATGACTGAAATACAAGAAAAGACTATTAAATGAACAGACCATATTCATAACCGAGAGCAGCAAGACCTGTGGCAACCATTGCATCTGATGTTTGTTGAATGACCTTTTCATTGAAATTACATCCTAAATAATTCCAACCCTCCCATCCTTTAATGAAAAAAGATAGTAGTTATGTATTAAATACTAAAGTATGATACCCATTTGAGGTGTTCGACCAAGACCATTGTTAAGTTGATGGGAAGTATGAATAAAAAATGTGAAGAGAAATATTTTCAATAAAATCATTTTGTTTTATTACATATTCTTATGATAGACATCACATGCCTAGAAAAAAAAATGTCGTCCTTTTATCTTTGACTTCACGGATGACAAAAACATTGACACGCCAATAAATTTGGTGAGAGAGAACCGTATGTACGCATGTGCATTGACTGTCGCTTTATTTGATGTCAACGCGTAAGAAGATGTGTTTTCTATGCTTACGCTACACGCTTATAAAAGGGAATTCAAAAGAGGAGATGAGCAATGTAGAGACGAAAGAGAAAGTGAAGAAATGTAAAAGTAATCATGATTTATCTAAGTGAGTGAGTAAAACATAAGAGAGTGAGAATCCCTATTAAAAGTATATTTTTTGCCTGTCCAGATTGTTATTTTAATATATATATGTATATGTGTCGTGTCCTGCGGAAGTTATAGCTTCAGCAACATTTTTACCGAAGTTATAACTTTGACATAGAATTTTGTCGAAGTTATTTTATATCAAGGAAATACTAAATAATTATCTACTAACTGATGATTTCACAATCAAAATATATATTTATGGTTATTTTTATTTTAATAAAGTAAAAAGGTTGTTCAGTAAAATAAAAATTAGGTTTTGTCAATAGTTTACATAATTATAGTTCGGCTGGATTCCATTAAGTTCTGCATTTAATAGAAAAGATCTCTGTGGGGCTACAGCTCAGATTTATAGAAAATTTGTGCACATACCTACAGTAGTTTCCGCGGTTTGTATTGTCGAAAGTTTTTGAAGTTTATTACGGATGTTAATATTAATTTTAATATAAAAGGATGAGACTGAGGATGAAGATAAGATGAGTATTTGTCGACGGGTGAAAGTGGAGATAAACTTAACATGAATCAGGATTCCAGAAATATTTAATTTATTCATGTACGAACCATTTTTATGCTGCCAATGTAAGACTCACGTGTAATTTAGATTGGAGTCAGATACAACTCTACAGATCTTTTTTATTAAATACAGGACTTAATGGAATCCAGCCGAACTATAATTATGTAATCTATTGACAAAACCTAATTTTTATTTTTCTGAACAACCGTTTAATTATTTATTTATTTTTAAAAAACAAGGTAGCGCTCATCCTACGGATTCGCTGGCCCTTCTCTGGAAGATAGAAAGTTGTTGTTACTGTGCTTTAAGAAAGAATGCTGATTTCACTCTTGTCATAATTATTCGGTTGTTAATATTGCCGATTACCGCACACAAGATCTCACTAGTAGACGAATACTATTGGAGCTAGCTCTAGCTAGATGCAAAAAATGTGTTTATGTTGTTGTTAGAACTGCTACAGTCTTATATATTCTCTGGTTTTCATAAGTGACGTTCTCGATCATATATACTATTAAAATGTTTTATTTTTGCAGAAAATATTTTTTCAGAACTAATGTACAGAAGAAATTCTTCCGTTTTTAATCGATTTGGGACAGAATTTCAACGACCCTGACCGGGATGGCTCACATTTTTTATCGACTCCAGCTCTGACTGAAGTATACCTTCGATGAACCTTTCAGATCAACGTCTAGTCGTTCGTCGGCGCTCCTCCCGGCCGCCACTCACGATTAGTCGCTCCCACGTTTAAGTCTTCTTCCTTTATTGATGGTCCTTTTCGATCTATGATCTGGCTGATTCAGGTTTGGCTCCTTGCAAAATATTGTTAGATTTACAATAGAAGAACTCACAATGGAAAGTACGGTGGACCATTTATTTTAACTTAAAATTAAGTTAAGAAACATTGCTTAACGCTTAATATTAAGTTTAAGCTTTTTCTGCTTAACACTTAATTCACTTGAAATTAAGTAATTAAGTGGTTGACGTAAGCCAAAGACCATTTAATTTCGTGTTTTTTCACAGAAGAACGATCAAGGAGAAAACGACGGATTTCGTACTCCCGGTATTCTCGGAATTTTTGGGCTTTTTTCTGTGCTCCTAGTATTCCCAGGATTTCCATTCTACTGTCAAGATTTCCATGGTACTCCCAGAATTTCTGTCGTACTCATAGAAACTTCTTACTACTCAAGAAGTCTTTACCGTATCACACAGTTAGATATACTAGATTAAATTGTATAGAAAAACTATCTTCTGCCGTCAGAAGTCTAGATATGTCACTTAATGAGCACATAATGGCTATTTAACTTCAATTTGAATTCAGCAGAAAAAAATTACACTCGATTTCGAACCGAAATGATGAACTAGGGAACTTTAAAATTATAGCACCTTCTGTACTCCTATATACTCCCCTTTATTCTTGGTAGGAGTCTCAGGGACTTCTGAATTATAATACCTCGTCTGCCCTATATACCAGAGTCCGACATGGGTCAAAATTTTCTGACCCAACCCAACCTGAGATCATATATACTTTTTGGCCAATTAAAGCAAGTCTTTTCAGAGATTAAGCATTTTTTTAATGGATCTGTACAAATACTCTCAAAATTAACAAGAACCATGTCATTATCTCATCTGGAACTCATGTTTTTCTTATTCAAACCTCGACATCGATCAATTTATTCTGACCCGACTCGAGTCGGACTCTGCTATATACCCCCTTTTATTTTGGGTAGGGGACTAAGGGACTTGAGAACCTGGGGATTTGGGATCTAGAGAACTAAGAGACTAGTGTGGGGGTGCTATAATTTTAAAGTCCCTAGTCCTCTAATCTCCTAGCTTATGTATGCCCTAGTCCCCTAGTCAGACCCTCAATAGAGAAAGAGACCATAGGGAAGGCAGTCACGAATATTAGTAATTAATAAATCGTCAGTCCCGCTTAACACTGGCCCCAATAGAAATAGAAGGCTATAGGATAGATAGTGGTTTCTAATTCGAAAGTTCATGCAAATCATCTTAGGCTCACATGTACAAAACAATGACGTCTACGGGTAAGAGGTTGGCACAAAAAGGATCATATACTGTTCAATCAAAATTGCAACACTTACAAGATCAATAAATCAATTAATCGATGAAATAACCACAAACAATTGTTGGATGACGACAAAATAATAAAACAATTAATAATTGTCTTTTATCTAAAATAAAAAAAAAAATATCGAAAAGAAAGTTTTTTCGACATCGCAATCGTACAACTACGACAATCATGCACTGAAACAGAAAAGAATCCAAGCACTACAAAGTTTATCTGCTACACCATTACTAGGAGCAAGATAGGAAAACAACTAGAAAGCCTTTCTTGGAGTGCAGCTTCCCTTCCTATTCGACATTTGTTTTTTCCAACATAACGACATAGGGTGTTAAAGAAAAAAACAAAAAGAATATTGAGCAAGCAAAGCGCTGAAGCATTCGTGTTCTCCACAGATAATTATATGATAGTCAAAAGAGACGACATTTGCCTTTAAATATATAAAAAAGAAGAAGAGAAAAATACATGAAATTAAATATCGTTAACAATATCAAAAGCGAGAGGCACAGATAAAGTAGATAAAAAGATAAAGCATCAAAAAATATATTATAATAATAGCCGCAGAAATATATAAGGATACAAAGATCACCTATGAAAATGGAAAGATAAAAAGAACTTAGAAATGTTAAAGCTGTTGGAAAAATGTAAAATGATGTGATGATCCGATGAATTCGAATAAATACCTAGATCAATGGATACGTTTAGTCGTATTTTCACTGTAACCTTGCTGAATACTACCGTTTACGATGCCCATACGGCACGTAAGTGAACCTTACTTTCTCATAATCTTGGCCACAATAATAGAGTGTCGTATGCGATGCCGCATTTTCACCATATACTGTCCTATTTCTGTAGCAGATATTACGGCAGTATGTAGTCCAAAGTCCTCCTGGTCCTAGTCGTCAAGCTCCTAAGTCTGCTAGTCACCAAATTCCTTGGGACAAACGGCTATCTGGTAGCCAGCTGATTTCTGATAATCACGAAGTGCTTTGTATCGAAAGTCACCCTCTTCAGTGCATACACCAGCTTCCTTAAGACTGTTGTCCAAGATGGACAACGCAAGAAATGCGCCGGACAAGTTTAGTCAAACGAATTCGTACGCATTTCGTCCTCCTAAAATATACAATGATTGTGCAAAATGTAACACAGCTTCATGGTATCGATAATTATTTTTAATTTTCAAAAGATTATTGAAAATATTTTCAAAATCTATCAGAAACAAATGATTATTTTATGAATCATTGCTTTTATTTGGTATATACGATTTTATTCAACGTCTAAACAATGAAAGAACATCATCATTTAAATTAAATGTGAGGGTGAGTTTCGAAAATATACCCATACAGTCAAAAATGTGAAATCGACACGTTACAACAATTCTTTCTTTTCTGCTTCTTGATATTTCGAATGAGATGTTCGGCGATCTTGTACGATGTAACATGACTTCACAAGATAAAAAATACTGAAATTTCGTTTTTTTTTCGCAATTTTGAAGGGTGCATCAATTGAAATGCCTATAACTCCGTGAAGGAAGAATATAAAAATGTAAAAGAAATTTCGTCAGTCCAGTTTTTCACGTAGAATCGAATGAAAGAAAAAAAAAGGGTGTTACAAAAAATCATGTTATGGCCTATCAGACGTGTGCTCGATATTCTCATGCATACTTTCTTAAGATATCCATCAATATCAAATAATATTTATTCAGATTAACGATAATATCATAATAGCCGTTAACTTTTTCTTACTTTTCTGCCTCTTTCTATACGCTTTTTTAATATGTTAAGGACACAAAAACAAAATAATCATGCGTTTTATATTGATCGGCTTTGCCATTGTGTCTCTTGCAATAAGCTTCAAAATCGATTCGTCTAATGTTAATTGTAATGTAGGTGGAACAGTTCAAAAGGGTTGGGAATCATTACGTGATTTATTTCAACAAAATTTAGAAAATAAGATCGATTTAGGTGCTTCCTTAGCTGTTTATCATCGAGGAGAACTAGTTGTGAACCTATGGGGCGGGTGGTTTGACAAACAAAAAACGAAGCCTTATGAAAAAGATACCCTACAACTCGTATTTTCAACATCAAAAGGCATCGTGGCGACGGCTATTGCTCTTTGTGTACAACGTGGTTTATTGAACTATACTGACATGGTTATAAAATACTGGCCAGAGTATGGACAAAATGGCAAGGAAAATACAACAGTGGCTGATATCATGTCACATAGAGCTGGACTACCTGCATTGAGAAATACTAATAGATCGCTTCACGAATATTTAGATTGGTATTCAGTAATTCATAAGCTGGAGAAACAAGAACCATATTGGGTACCTGGTACACAGCATGGTTATCATGCATACACTTATGGATGGTTAGCTGGAGAACTTGTTCGACGTGTTGATATAAAACAAAGAACCTTAGGACAATTTATCAGAAATGAAATTGCAAAACAGACACAAAGCGAATTTTATATTGGATTACCTGAACAATACGAACCTCGAGTATCACCAATCGTCATAAAAGCCTTCGAAAAGCCAGTTTCCAATGTGGAAACTAATTCATTACTACAAGAAACATTACTACCTTATTCAGAATTAGATGGATTTAATGATCCGAAAGTACACCAAGCTGAGATCCCAGCAGCGAATGGAATAACAAATGCTCGATCTGTAGCTCGAATTTATGCATCTTTGATTGGCGATTTAGACACGTCAAAACGATTATTAAATGAGATGACCATAAAAAAGGCAACGAAATCAAATACGCCTGATAACGAACCAGATCAAGTTTTGATGAATATACCGACCATATTCGGTATGGGTTTCATGACTTATGGATCAGTGTTTAATCCATTGGGACCAGGAACATTTGGTCATAATGGTGAGTTCCATGATTATCAGGTATTTAAAACCCCGGACTCAGCCATGTGTTCAATACTTTAATAGCGAAAACAGATGTTGATCAAGCTATCTTTCTTCAGAAAAAGATTTTTAGCTTTTTTCGACATAAGAAAGTTATGAAAATATATTCAGTACTTATAACTCAGCTCGTCTTTTGTATTTCGAATGACTTAGAGTTAAAACTATTCGAATGACATAGGAAATCATTCGATTTTGGCAAAAACAGCTCTATCACATCAACAAAAATTTTCAGAGTTTCAAAAGAAATCAATATAAATCTATTGAAAGTTTTAAAACTACAGCTCAAATTTTGAAGATCTGTTGTTATTTGTTTCGGACTTATTTAGGTCTTGGTGGTAGTATAGGTTTTGCTTCTCCATCTCTCAATCTCTCATTTGCCTATGTTACGAATCTGCTCGACCTCGAATCTTCAACAGTCATCGATCCACGAATTAAGCCAATCATAGACAAAATTAATTTTATTGTTAATAATCAAAATAAAACTTGCTAATTGTATTTGTTTCTGCCATCCAAAAGTTATACTGGAACATAACTGAAACAAGTTTTGATTGAAAATATTACTAGTATTAAATATATTACAGTAAGATCTACAAGAAAATAAAATTAAATAAATTATTAAGAATTTTTTTTTATTATAATTTTCTGAAACGACTTGTTTTGATTTTCTTTCCGTATTAAATATCATTGAAATATTAAACTTGATGGCATTGTTTCATACTCAACTCGATTGTACATAAAATTTCTCTAGTCAACACTAAGAAGGTGTGGGTGTGGGTGTTGTTCACTCACATGTCACCCATACCCAATCAATACTGATATCAAATACATTTATAAAGGTGGATCTAAATGTGAGTGTCTTTGTGCGTGTCAATGTCGATATGTGCTGTGTGGTGCTTCTCTTCAACTAATCAACCAATCATACTCGTATCCACATACCCATAACCGCACCTGAATCCACTAAACACCACACTCACACACAATATCAAAACATCTACATCCACCCATACCCTATTTCTGACCAATGGTTATTATATGCGATACTCGAAAAGGGATAAGTTCATCATTTATCAAGTTTATAAAAACTCTGAAGCTATATGAACTAAGTAATTGAAGCCTGTGGTGTCGTCAAAACAATCGATATCATGAGTTTTGGTTGACCAATAAACATAATTTTATTGCATTATTTTGAAATGAATTTATACGCTCACTGACCGATAATGTAAAGAAATTTCAAGGTTATAGAACAGAAGAAAAATTCACAAATAATCAATCTATCTTTGAATACAACGAACTATAGATTGATTTTTGTCTAATCAATGGAAAACAGACATATACTTAGTTAACACTGTGTGCTCTCTAATAATGCTTAACAAGTTTTATCAAGCAGAAAGCAAATTCAATCAATTACACTCATGCATAGTCATAATGTTTTAAGTTTCGTTTAAAATTTCAATTAACAATCATCGATATAACGAAAACTTCAAAAGATGGCAGCAACATTCGATTTGATCACTGTTGCTACTGAAACTCGTTTTCATTATTCCTTGGCCACCGATCTCATTCATCGTATTAAAAAACTCGCTAAGGATTACTATACAATACTTCGCACCTTAACTATTTAATCTTAATAGTTTCAAATAGCATGGAAAAATCGTTCTTTCAATAAAACTTTATGCAGAAGAATTTTATCTTTTCACTTTTAGTATTCATAATATAATTAACAATATGATTGAGATGTAAAAATTACGAATATCTAAGGCTTTCATTGAATGGATAAACGCTGATTTCTTATGCTTTTTATGAATTTACTATTAAATCAGTAGTCTAAATATAAAACAGGTTTTTTTTCCTAAGTAAATATTGATAATTTTACTGTCCTTATCTAGTCATAAAACATCGGTTATGTTTTTTTTTTTTGAAACAATACTCATAAGGATGGACATCTAACGAAAATATGTTTTTTCATTTCATTCTTTCAGACAACCTTTACTCTTCTAGATTACATATAGAAAACAAACTAAAAAACAACAAACCATTTCTTATTCTCAATGGATATACATAACTCTTCTGCTAAAGACTATCAAGTAAATTTAAGTAACATAAAAAATTTTTATTAAACTTTTCTCTTTGAATTTATTTAGCATGATACCGACATAACTATTATAAATTCTTTATTTTCATCTGATTTTGATGATACATCAATAACTGCTTGTATACCTGTTCTAAAACATCCACAACAAGTTAATGAATCTTCCAACACAACTTCATCAATAATATCAAATACTGTATATGATCAAAATAATAATCAAATAAATTCTGATCGTAACCATAATTATATATTTATTCAACATGATTTACAAGAAACTACGAAACAACTTGAACAAATTTTAAATTACTATCAACAAGATCTTAAACAAGAATCTAATACACAATTAGATTGTAATCGAAACTTAATAACACGTCTCGTTGATTTTATTCGACCTGTATATTCTTCAAATCAAGAAAAAATGAAAGATTTAGATACATTAATTGACAAAATATCGAACTTACATGACGAGAGATTTATTGAACAAAAAGAAAAAAATGAACAATTTCAGAAAGAAATTTCATATTTAAAAAAATTAATAGTAACATCAGAAAATGAAGATAATATTAGTAGGAAAATCTACCGAATAAGTAAGATAATTTATGAAAGAATATTTATTCAATTGATTATAAACTTAGATTCAATGGTTGATTATGAAGAATTTATAGAAATAGAGGAGGAAACCAGAAAACTTCAGAAATTAGTTGAATATCAACAAAACCAAATCAATGAACTTATCAAAATTATATCACAAGAAGGTGAATATCAAAGCAAACAATTAACTAACGAAGGAATCTCGTCAGATACTATCTTCCGATTTTTCCTATAGAGACTTCAGATTTTTGAAAAACTCGTGTTTTCAAATTTCGATCTGTATTATAACTATGAAGCTTGTAAAAAAAAAACACATGCTGTATAGAATATATTGTAAGTTCCATATCTCGAAGAGACTTTTGTTCAAAACTTGTGAATCTTTTTTAGTTCAAAGCTTGAAATCAAAATTCAAAAATATGAGTCTTCCGAAAATCTGGGGTCTGTAGAAAAAAAATTCGATAGGAACCCAAATCATATTAGAATTTTTATTAGAACATTATATAATATCTAAAGTAAAACAGTCATTGAAATCACAATGTGGGACGTCTGAAGGGAGGATTCTCTAGTAAGTTTCAAATTAAATAGTCAATCTTTTTGAAGAATAAAAACTGTACATTAGCATTCAGATTTGATACTGATTAAAGGCAAAAATAAAGTATTATAATGTATTTTAGAAATAGTTAAAAATGAAAAATATCATACAACTGCATATTCAATATCTCCATTGATTAGTGAATTAGAAAATACAATGAAAAAAAAATGTTGTGTATGTGATTATGAATATTCAAAAACATGTAATGAAACTGAAATACATAATCATGTTAAAAGTTGTTTATCGACAATAAATCTTGATAATTTTCATGTTTCTGTCGAACGAATACAATTGGATTGTCCATTTTGTGATAAAAAATTATTAAACAATGGTGATATTACTGATCTTGAACATTTAACAATGTGTTGTAGTCAATTGTATGTCTAATTTTAGATTGAAATCAAATAAAGATTCGTTATTTTTATACTAAGATTTATAAACCAGATGAATATAATTGTTCTTTGTGATATGTGTATATATATAAATATATGATTTCTTTTTTACTTTTTTTTTGCTGAATTGAATTTTAATAATATAGAAATTCATCTAATAGGCTTCGATTTTATTGATCTACTTTCTTCATGCAAACAGATCATCGTATTGCAATGTTTTTGTATATGTTCATATGTTTAAGGTAAATCATTTATTGTTGAATCGATCTATCCTTAAATATACAAAGGAAATATAGAAGTTAAAAGGATCAAAGAAACTTTGAAATAGACAAAATCAAATAAATTGTGATTAATTAAACAATCTTTATCAACTTTTACAGAATCTTCTCATTCTTTTGTTTATGTATTTTATGAGTATTACTATTATTGCATTTTTTTTTTAGAAATAGCATGAGGCCGTTTATTTATAGATTAATAGTAGAAAGTTGAGATTGAAATCCTTTTGAATATGATTCCAGTTTTTTTTCTAAACTAATCTCTGGAATATATTCATAATAAATATTTTCTCGACACGATGATATAATATGTAACTACACAATTCTTCGATCATTGTAAATTGAAATTTAATATTTACTGGAAAATAAATGTGTCAGGTTATATCATCATGACTATTCTAATGTTTTTAAGTGCACAAATCAAAATATCAGTTGAAGACAATTTGAATCAAAGTTTTTCTTTTTTTGTCACATAAGAGTTTTGATTCAATACCAACCATAAATAAAAACAGAAGTATTTATCCTTAATGAAGAAAAAAATGAAAATTAAAGTACACATTATCGTTCACATATAGAACGAAGTTATTTTATTTTCAACTAATAAATAAAAAGCTGTTAGCGCAATTCCGGCGGGATTAAAATGTGAAACACGATGCAGCTGTTGTTATTAGTCGCACGAATATGTTTTCTTCGATATCTTCGAATCCGTTAACAAATCATTGTTTATTAATTTCTCTGGAGCTGCAAAAAGGAAGCACTTGACATATTCCCATGAAATTCTGGCGGCATTTAATCGTACTTCATATAAGAACAGATCTACCTATTTCTGTAATGGATACTGGGTTTTCTCTGTCACGGTCTGTGGAAAGAGGGGGGGGGGATTAAGTGGATCCAAAATTTCTACCCCTATACACTTCAACATTCTTTTCAGATCGTGTTTCACAAAACAGGAT